ACTACTGTCAGTGTATTTCAATTTAGTCCTTCGTCATTTCAGGTTGTTATTATTTATTTATATTTATTAGCCAAAGTTGCAATATAGATAACATTTTTGTTTCTTTTTAATGAGCCAAACTGACATTTTAAATTCTTAAACAAAAAAAAATCGGTTGCCTGTTTAAGCAGCTTGGATCAAATAAAGTGCTACATGAAAAGTAAGGGGTGACGGTGACTCATGCATAATTATGTTTAGCAGCAATTTGGATCATTTTTGCTGCTAATGGTGTTAAGACATGCCAATGAGAAAATATATTGTTATGAATAAAAAATACTGAAAAAGATTTAACATTAGTTTATTGTGTATAAGCCAGCAATAATTAGTTAATTCGAACTTGATCATTTAGTAGATTTGGTAATTTATCTTGATGTTTTAGGTCACAGCTAACATATTAAATAGTGTGTTTGACAAAGCTATAAAGCCCAAAAAGTTTTTTTTTTTGTTTAGTGTTTCGGTGCTGCCAAAAAAAAGAACTCCACTGTGTCCACCATCCTAAAGTCTCATACATTCAAATGTTGCATGTTGTATTGAGTCCTGAATTTGCGGATCGTTATGCCTCTATTTTAGAAGATTGTAAGATCAGTCGACTTACTGAACAATAACTTGGATAACTATACAAATTTCACTGCAAGAAGGGTCTGGGTTCAGTTCCCCAGCTGAGTTTGCATGTTTTCACCGTGTCTGTGTGGGTTTCCTCCCACAGTCCAAAGACATGCAGTCAGGCTAACTGGACATGCTAAATTGCCCCCAGGTGTGAATGTATGTGTCTGTGTATCTGCACTGTGATGGACCAGCAGCCTGTCCAGAGTGTTTCTTGCCTTCTGCCCAATGACCGCTGGAATAGGCTCCAGCACCCTCCACGACTCAGGAGGATAAGCGGCTTAGATAATGTGTGTGTGTGTGTGTGTGTTTTTTTTCATTATTTATATATACAGCTACACTGTGTCTCCATTCTGTGCAATACAGCAGAGAACTTATTTTACTATTAAAATTCCAAACTAGACGACTTATTAAAATACCTCATTAAGAAAAAGAACACAAAAATGATGTGTATCTGTATATTTGAATAATTACACAGATTCATAATAACAACTGTCAGATTGATGAAAGAATCGCTTTTACATATTTATCACTGATTTTCTCTCTGTGTAGACTGTGCAGTGATGGAGAGGCTGTTCATCTTTACTACACAACTGAGAACTCCAGAGTTTACCATAAACAGGAACCCAAGAGCATTGAGATTAAAGCAGAGGTAAACGCGGTGATCTTGCTTAAGAACTTTACATAGATACCATGTTATCGTCTTTATTGAAAGGAATGTTCAGGCTTTGCTTTAGTCAGGTTTATTCTTTTCCTCTGTAGCACACAGACGCCGTGGAGTACCTGATCCACAATTACCCAAAGTTCATCACGGTCGCTAGTTTACCGTGCGACTCCGCAGAAGACAAGGTATTGCATTCCATCATCAAAAATTAGGGATGTAAATCTCTTCAGCTCATGTGTGATTCTGTAGGCTGGATTTATACAGTGAAACATTCACACATCTTTACACATCCACATGTAACCAGGTTTCACTTGAGGTGTATAATTATAAAGCATCCTACAACTCATTTGAAACACAGTTGCAAGTGTTTCAACGTCATGGAACAAGTTTCATGAAACAGCCAAACAAAATGCGATAACATCAAGTGACAACGGCGTGTGACATACTATCAACCAATTGATTTCACCGGATCAGTGCATAAAAAAATAAAACAGAAGGTGAATTATTAGGTGGTGGAAAATAAGAATTCCTCTCTGACTCTGTCAAGCTTGAGAATTTTTCATTTTCTCAGTTTCTGAGCCATGACAACAAACGTGAGTTTCTAAAAGCTAACCTTTCCGTAACAGGCTGTGTTAACTAGCCAGCTAACGCTAACAGCTGCTTGTGCCAACGTTTATTCTTCTTTAACCTGCTGTTATCATGATCTATGTAGCTAGATTCATTTTCTCCTAAATTTCCACAAAGATCAGATCATTTAAGATCTAAAGGATGAAAATTGTTACAGAAGAGGGGACAGAGATGCGTTCTATGTTGAACTAGCCATGTTATAAGTACAGGATGAGTGAGACGTTCAGGATAACCATACTGGCTGCATAAACATTAATTCTTAAAGGCTTAATGTACAAACAGTAGATAAACATTCAAATATATTCTAAAGACAGACAGATAATACTCAGACAAACAGATAAATGACAGATAACGGTATATATTATAGATTTTGGGATAGTGTACAAAGATAAAAATGCTGCAAATATGTAAATTACACCTTGTTTTTGACACAACATATCGCTCTCGCTATAAAACAGGGGTGCACAACTCCAGTCCTGGAGGGCTGGTATCCAGCAGTTTGGTGTTTTACCTACTTACAACATCTCCTTACACTTAGCTGTTAATTGCCAGGTTATTGGGTGTGTCTGAGTAGGGAAACCAGTGCTGGACACTGGCCTTCTCGAACCAGAGTTGTGCGCTCCAGCTTTATAGTGAGAGTGACATGTATCAGGGGGATGCCACACCTCCAGGAGTGGTGGGGCAAAACATATTGTTTAGACTCAGCTCAGTGACGAAATGCAATTAGGCCACTGGCTACAATTGCCTTTCATTTCATGACACGTCTTTATAAACCCATACAGAGGTGGGTAGTAACCAGTTACAATATTTGTACTGCTCTGTGATTGGTTACATCTCTGACTTTGGAGCTTTGTATTTTAGACTAAAAAAATCCCAAACAGAGAAGAACGGAGCTGCACAATCTTCAGTTCCTGTGCTGATAAATGCTCGATGTAGTAAGAAGTTCCACTGCAGTACTCAGAACTTTGATTTCAGGACAAGATTTTTAACCTGCTTCTTTTGTATTTCTACTCACTTGTTTTGGGTAATTTTACTTATGTAATTATTTTATGCAAGTATCAATACTTGTACTTAAGTGCTGGTTTAGGCTCCTCTACCCACCTCTGAGCCTTATTATGAACAGTGTCAGTGTTTGTTTTGATGCTGCTTCAGTAGGTGCAGCCTCAGATAGCAGTATTTGTTAAAAAAATGCTCCACAGTCCATGTGCCTAAATCTAACTATATCATTATTTTATTGCTTGTCTCTGTTTATTTACAGCAGCTCGCAGTGCTGAAAGGAAATGAGCGTTTGTAAAGAGTGAAATGTTAAAGCAGTAGGTTGTGCAGACAGTAGAGAAAATGTGCTCTGGAAAAACGAGCTCTGTTGTTTAATTCCCTCATGAATTAGCGCGGTTCAGGTGTTTGGTGCAGACTTGAATACGGGTGGAGTTGCATGTCTAAACCAAACTAAAGCGCCCCAACCAAGGCAGCTCTAAAAGCGCCTCCCAGCTGAAATGGAGATTCTGATCGGCTCTTTTCGTGCTGGTCAGCGCTTCATGCAGTTTAGGGAAAGCAGAGGTTTTAATGTTATGTCCTGAACTCAAAAAGTCGTGGGGTTGTCACTGCAGAACTTTGAAAAGTGGTGGGCCAAATGCCCGCTCACCAACGTGGTTCTAGGGGCTGTGTTGTATCAAAAACAGTAACTGATAATTTGGCTCACTAGTGGAGTAACTGAATGTTTTGTAGGTATATTTGTATCTGAATTGCCATGTGCAACTGTCAAGCAGGCAACTCACAACATGCAACTAGTTGCATGAAAGTTTCACCATGTAAAGCCAGCCTTAGGAAACAATTCAGCACATTCTGAAATCTCAAATTTCATCATAATATAACTTCTAAAGATATATAAATGGATCTGGAGGAACTACATACTGAGTTATGCAATCTAGACAATAAAAACAATACCCCATCTCTTTTTATGTCTAAATATAGTCTGAGAATTTTGTTTTGGCAAAAAAAAACACAAGCACATGTTATTGGATATTATTGTAATTGATTTTGACCTATTAAAACTGAATCATCACCTTAAGCTTGATGCATCACTGCATGTTTACACTTTGCAGTTATTATTTATTCCTTTGTCATGTTCGGGTTTAACTCTTGTTTTTCAGGAATCATTGGCGGAGTTGCTGTTTGAGAAAGGAATAATCCACACGTCTGAACCTTTGATGACAAAGTGAAGTTCATTTGTTGGCTATAAATGAAATGTGATCAGAAAAAATTGTTCCAACTTTTTTTTTTCTCTGTTATGAAAAAAGTACTGCCATTTCATACAGCGAATGTAAGAATAAAATTTAGCATATTTGATGCACGGCTGTTTGACCTCTACATCTTTAGTAAATGATTTACATGGACAGAAGGCTTTTGTGTGTTTTCATTATGATGCCATTTGAGAAAACATACAATTATACAAGTATAAATATCAAATCACAACTTGGGGCATTCCACCCTTAAACTAGAATTTAATGTGATTGTGTTATGCACTATTCTGTAGCACAACATTGCATCCCTCAGATTAATCAGTTTGACAGATTTCATGATTTTGTATCCTTTTTGTGTTTCCGTCCATCAGTATTGTTACACTACCCAGAATGCATTTCGCAAAAATGTTATAGAACAGTTCATTTTGAAGAAAATGGTTCTATATAGAACCATAAACACTCAAAGAACCTTTAGCATGATTAAAGGGTTCTTTGCATCGTGAAAGTGTTCTTCACATTGATGGAGAATGTGCAGTGGATGGTTCTATATAGCATCAAAAAGGGTTCTTCTATTGTAACAAGCTTGATATTGTAACAATAGGAGAATCCTTTTCAAAAAGGATCTATATAGAACTAAATACAAATTCTCCAACAATCTGAAGAACCATTTTGTGATGCAAAGAACCCTTTAATCATGCAAAGCGTTCTTTGTGTTCATGGTTCCATAGAGAACTAGAGAACCCTTGAAGAACCATCTTTTTAAAGAGGTTAGTAACAATAATAAAAACATTTAGAATGAACTGATAATGAAAAATACAACAGAGGCGCTCTTTCTTGTGTCAATATATTTTACATCAAACGTTACTGAAAAGTCATTTACAGGTTTGAAGACAGAATGTCTAAATGAACAGAGCAGGAGGTCCAATAAATATCATCTGGAGGGAGACTTCACTTCCAGGTGTATTCCTCACCGGGCTTCAGCTCCCTGTAATTACACGTCATTATTTTTGCATTAGTTGTCACTTCACTCAAACTTTGTTCAGATCAACTTTGATATCAGGCATTTCTCAGAATCAGAACTGGTTTTATTGCTTGTCCCACGTTTTATAACCACAATGTCCACGACTTACCCCACATGTGGTTGATTAGCCAAGATATGTTTACTGTCCAAATTTTGCTTGTTTAGTTCAGAACTGGACCTATGAGGCTAACATTGCCAACAAGCAGCAGAAGTCAATAGTCACCCATTTTTTTTTATTTATTTATTTTTTTTTGGTAAGTACATTCCCGAAACTTCTCTCAACCTGCTCAACCCACATCCTGGGGTGTATTCCACAAAGCATTTCTCAGCCAGATAACTTAAGCCCAAATATGAGGACTGTACAATGGGAATGTCCCTCAGCTCTTCAGCTGGATGGGCTTGACTTTGGGCTTAAGTTATCTACTTAAACTGAGAAATCTTGCTGTGTGGTTTACCCCCCAGGTCTTCATTAAGGAGGTGCAGACTTGCCAATGTGGTTTAGAGCACAGTACGACTTTCTGTGAACTATAAATGTGAACAAAACTTCACACAGCCACTTTAGAGTTGATACTCAAAGTAGAACTGATCTCGGATCAGATTCCTCGTATTTATGATGGTCAGACCCATGTTGTCTATGTGCCCACAGTTCTGTTCACAGTGAGTCATACTGTGTCCAAACCACATTGACAAGTCTGTGTGTCCTTAATGAACTGACCTGGATGACCTGGATGTGGTCTGAGCAAGTAGAGAGAAGTTTTGGTGAGGCATTTTTATAGACGCGGTTTGGATGATGTGTTACTATTGTGTTCTAGTGTTTGTTAACAATGTTAGCCTTGCCACTCCAGTTCTAAACTAAAGAAGCAAAAAACTGGACTCCAAATGTGTCTTGGCTGAAGAACTACATCTGGGTTAGTGGAAAATTGTGTAAATTAGATTTTTCGCTGAAACATTCCTTTAAGACAAACACAGAAACAAATAAATGGACTAGTCATTTCAACTGAGTAAAATAGAGCGCAACATGTGACACGTACCTGCTGTACAACGCACTCTTGTTCCTGAATGCTGTCAACTTCTGATCGTTCCACCTGTCCAGGTAGATGCCAGCAACAAAACCTAGTGGAACCAGGATGTTGACCCAGTGCTCTCGCACCAATGCCGCAAAGTTCACCATGATGCCTGTAAGAAGAGGGTACAGAGTCAAAAGACTAATTCTTTTTATATCAAAATAGGGTGTTGCTAAACCACTGCCATGGTATCCCAGGTGGTTGCTAAGGTGTTGCTAGGCCATTGCTATGCAATCTCTCACACACAAAGACTATTCCCACAATCCCCAGAGCAGGAGTCCAGTACAACACCGGTGCTAAACTGCTCAACTTATCACTCACAAATTTGTCCACTACTGAGAAGATTATTAGTTTGAATATCTGTCAAAGGAGTTAATTAAGACTAAGATTAATATCTGATCACACTGATTAATCAGTCTACTCAGGCTTTAGCAGAGCTCAGTAACAGATTAATAACTGATCACATTCGTTTATCAGTCTACTCAGGCTTTAGTAGGAACTTTTATTTGTTGAAATCCTCTTTAGAATTTGTCTAACGAGCATGTTTACCACATGCTGTGTGCTGATTTTAAAACAGTTAATAAACAAGCCCTGACAGTGTTTGTTTTGAAGATTTATTTGAAGATAATGGGAAAATCTGGGTCTACATGAGTCAGACAGTAATCAGATTTCTGCTTTGCAACCAGTCAATAAACTTTTTTTTTCTGCGGCCATTTTTTTAAAAACATCACGCCAATTTATCTGAAAATATGAACATACGTCATCTAGAACATCAGAATGTTTAAATCCTTCATTTTGTCAAGCATGTAGTTGGCTGCCTATTTCCGGTATCATTGTCTATATTCACACGGATGCAGACAGAGAAATCCCAAAGAAATCCAGCTCTCTTTATTGGATTTCTAGACCTTACTCTGATCTAAGAAATCAGAGTGTGCTGTTTACATGACCATTTGAATAATCAGACAACTGCAGAAATCCAATTATGATCAGAATATACACATAAACGCACTCAATGTTGTTGTGTTCTGAACAGGAAAACGTAACCCAATAACACAAAGATTTTTAAATTGCTTGTAGGTGAGTTACACCAATACAAGCAACCAAACACTGATGTGTTAGTTGTGGTTGTGTGACATCACAACCACAACTAATTTGGAATCTGGCACACTACACAGTGTTCAAGCCTCAGGCCAGAAAAAAGATAATTTTTTGACCAAAATATAGGTCATAACAGAAAATATTTTAATTATATTTTTTGTAGAAAATAATCATAATTTAAATTGCTGTCACAATACTAGTCACAAAGATCACGATTAGATATTTCCTCCAAATCGTTCCGTCCTAATTCCCAGCACTGCAGTGACCCAGAGAAGAGCAGCGAACGGTGCTGACAGTCCAAACTATTACCTAGTTTATAACCAGACTACAAAGGCAAACCTGTTTGTGGGCTGCAATGTGGTAATGGACAGGTTTTCAGTGCTAAACCTCCAGGTGGGTGTTTTACAAAGCAAGAATTCTCACTTTAAGTCAAGTCTGTCCAAAAGGAAAAGAGCTGATAAACATTCCCACTGGACAATCCTTAAGTGTGGGCTTAATGTATCTGGCTAACTGAGAAATCAAGCTGTTCCACATAACCCAATATAACAATACTGCTTTACTGCAGAGTTCACATTTTTTGACCTGGCTGTTTTGGGAGAACTAGATATTGTGTGTATTGTAAATATATTCTAAATAAATTAGTACATTAAAAGGGAATTCCAATTTTTTTCAAAAGTTCTGTATAATTAAATCGTCAAGACTTTAACAACATTCAGAGTAGTTTAATGTGAAATGCTCCGTTGTAGAGGAACTTACTGAGACAGAGTTGTTCACAATGGTAGTGACAGGAACCTGACATCTAGAGTTTAACGCCTCTAAAAGTGATGTCTAAGGCAACGCTTATGTTCATTCTGAGATAAGATTTTGCCCCAAAACGTAACTTTTAAACCCCATTCATGGTGGAGAGATGCAAACTAGGCACTGTAAGACAAAATAAAAACAGCACCCACTGAAACATTATTCAAAAAAATTATTTTAATTTTAAAATAAAATGGCTATATCCGTGGTATAGAGATTTTAACACATGGAGGGTATTTCACAAAGCAGGATTTCTCAGTTTATCCAGATAACATAAGCCCAAAGTCAAGCTTGTGCAATAGGAAAAGAGTTAAGGCACAATCCTACTGGACAATCCTCGTCTTTGGATTTAAGTTATCTGGCTAACTTGGTTTCTACCACCACAATTGTAAAGAAAGGAGTCTGTAAGTTTCTCTACAATGAACCATTTCACATCAAACCACTGAATGACTTTGTTTACATCTCAATTATGCAGAAAAACTGAAAAATTGGTGGAATTGCCCTTTCATTTCTTACTAAGATTAATACAGCACTGAACTAAAACTAACAGCGCTGTAATCAAACTCATGTCCTGCTGTAAAGGAACAGAGGTTCCACTACAGGCAGTACACTAAACTTAAGATGTATAATGTATATGCAATGTATATTTCACATTAAAGTCCCCGTTTCAGAAACAAACAAACCAACGACATCTTTAGGCCGCTAAGCTAGGCTACAATTTAAATGCAAGCTAAAAATCTCATCGCGGAAGGTGCTTACAAAGCCCTTCACTGCACAAACATTCAAAACTACATGAGAGAACACCAGTGATCTAAAAATGTCCACTTTATTCCCACATTAGGTATAAAAATAACAAAATTTGTCGTCACCTTCTCCTCGTTTCTCACTTCGCCGTGGAGAGATGTTCAGAGGGCACAGAGCGATACCAACTCCCAAATCGTAGGGTAAGTTAATTCTTTGTTCTTAATGTTTGTGTTTTTATTTTAAAAAATACAATGTCCGTGTAATTAATTACACTATTTTAAAAACGTGTTATAAGCTCGACAGCAGGTTTGTGAAGTATATTTTAAACAAAGTAGAATAATTGTAATGCCCCCCCTTAAATGCATTGCATGTGGTACGTTCCCCCGACCCTGCTCTGTAATGACGGCGCGCGGCTAGATTGAAGCGAACCGCGCAGCTCCTAAAAAGTGAATAAAAAATGATGTTGGAAAAGTTTTGGAGATGTTTATCGGGACACACGTTCGTGTGAAGGCAAAACAGTACCATTAGCACGTCGACCGGTATGCTGCTTTTCATGTATACGGTTTAATTTGACAGTTTTGCTGTTAGCTAGTTCGCTAGCATTCACTTGCTCACAGTCTGAGCCCACCGGCGAAATGTTTGTATGGATACATTTTTGACTAAATATCACTTTTTTCCTTTAACTTTTTTTTCTTTTTTATTGTAGACAGCCATTTTTCTTTGTTTTGTGTTGCAAAACTGGATAGTGCTCTCTTCTCCGAAGTTTAATTCGGTGGCAAAGCAAACTAGACAACAGCACGAAGCTAAAGTCAGCTTCTTATTCGAATTTTCCTGTTCCACCTTAAATGGTGCAGCAGTTACATTGTGGCGCTGGAGGCTGCGCGATTTAAGGTGGAACGGAGAATTCAAACAATAAACCAACTTCAGCTTCGTACAATCAGCCAGTTTAACGTTATTGATTTACCAAAGTCAAAACATGCAGTTCTTTCAGTGTGTGGTGATTTTTGCTGAGCTGTAAGTTAGTGAATTAGTAATCTGCAATACAAAAGCGAGAAGTGTTTATTTTGCATGTCGGTGAGTATATAAAAGGGTTCTCTGATTAAAGTTTTTTGCATCGTGAAAGGGTTCTTCACGTTGATGGAGAATGTGCTGTAGATGGTTATATATAAAACCTTTTTCAAAATGATTCCATATAGCACACAAAAGGGTTCTTCAACTGTTATGATTTCACGCTTGTAACAATAGAAGAACGCTTTTGGGTGCTATGTAGAACCCTTTTCAAAAACCATGTATATATATGTACCTGTTGCCCTTTAAATTGTCTTTAAATTTCATGGTGAATGGACCAAAAGAAATGGTCCAACATTACATGGAGAAAAGTCTGGTTCCATTGATTTACATTAAAAGTAGGTTTTTTCCTTCTCCTGAAAAAGTTATTATTTTAGAGATAAGAAGGTTTTGTGTCAACAGCAGTGATATGTAATGTTGCCAATAGTGATATTTCTTTCTGTGTGGAATATTTAGCCTCACAACAGCCTGCCTGTTTTAAAACGATGTCTCACGTGCATAATATCTTTCTGTGTGGGAGATTTCAGAGGCATTAAACTCTTCAGACATCTGGTTCCTATCACCACCACTGTGAATAAATTCTGTATGTTTCTCTAGAGTGGAGCATTTCACATCAACCCACTTGGAATGACTTTGTTTACATCTTAACCATTTAGTTATGTAAATTTATTAATATAATATTGCCTTTCCCACAAAACTCTTAAAGAACCACTTTCTTTTAAGGATGAGTTATGTATAGTAGACAAAAAGGTGTGAAGCTTCTTCTTCACTTGCTCTCTCCTCAGCGTAGACAAATCTGGGTCTTGAGGATGACCTCCATCATCAAGCTGACCGCCGTGTCCGGCGTGCAGGAGGAGTCCGCTCTCTGCTACCTGTTACAGGTAGATGAGTTCCGTTTCCTTTTGGACTGCGGCTGGGATGAGAGCTTCTCGATGGACATCATAGATGCTATGAAAAGGTGAATAGAAACCTGGTTCGCTCTCATTCTCGGGCATTTTAGTGTGAAAAGCTTTGCCCTACAATGCAGGAATTAAAACAAATTTATACGTCATGGGAAACAGAATTATACTTTTGAAATAACAGTAGATAATGTGTGTAAACATTCTTAAAGTTTAAAAATGTGTCGTTCGCTAAACATATTTCGTATTTAGCCATTTTATATTTTAGTAGTTTAGCCCCGGCCATTCACATAAAAGTTATAAGGACAGTTTCAGCTTTAGCTACTTTTTGAACAAGGCAAAATTCAGGACAGCCAGTTAGAACAGAGCTCATTTACAAACATCTGTTTTAAAAGCACAATAACAAAAACAGTCTGTTTAATTTTAAGGAATAAAGAAAGGTTGTAAAATGGTTATGGAAAAATGAATTATGACTGTTATCACTGTTGTTAAGCTGGGCCTATACTACATGATTTATAGCCTGACTTTAACCCCAATTTGCCCCTTCTGACAAATTTTCATTTCAGGTTTTGAGCTAGATAAGAATGACTGTGATTGATGGTGCAGATGACCTGGTAGTGTGAGAGGAGAAATCAAGTCAGTCTTTAGCCTTATGATCGAACTCTGGGGCCGAATTCATTGTTTTCTTATATAAGCTACATTGCATTGTAATATGTACCATAACCGACACAAGATACATTTTGAATTTGGGTTAACTGTTATTTCTGTTATTTAGTTTAATCACCTCAGAAGAGCAAAAATGGAGAAAAAACATCAAACCAAGCATTTAAAAAAAATTTAAGCAAACAAGAACTAGAGGTGATAGAGAAAGAAACAGCCAAGAGGAAAAAAATCTTCCGTGGAAAATAAGATAGTTGTTAGGTGATGAATGATGATGGGCAGAAGCAGCAGAGATGCTCACCTTGTCAACTCTTACTATTTGAAGAACAATTTCTCGTAACTGTTTTCTTAAGAATTAAGTTAAGGGAAAAAAAAACACACATTTAAGAATTTCTTTCTTAAGGCACTTTGGGAATCCGGCTCCTGGTGTGATCTGAGATCTTCTGATATTTTCAAACATGTTTGGTTTTTATGACTCAAAAATGTTTTATGAGTCCTGCAGTGGGAGATGGTCAGCGTGGTCATTCAATGAGTAATTCATGCAACAGACAGTAAAAAAAAGAGGAGTCACTCTCTTTTATAATTTCAGTTCAGTGGACAGTTTGTAGTAAAATATTTCTCACTGTAATATCTGTATTTCTCAACGACTTGTTCATCCTCAGTTTGCGCTTTTGCTTCTCTTATGTGTGTAAAAGTACAAACAGGTACCCTTTTTTTGCTTTGCTGTCCAGTGTGGGCATCCTCACTGAAAAAAAAACAAAAAAAACAAGCTCTCTAAAAGGATGATGTTATGTGTGTGATGTTCTCTGCTTTGAGAACCTGTTGGGATTTTTTATGTAGTGTGTGTCTGGTTTACATAAACCTACTCATACATGGATCGCAGTGAAAACAGTAAAAACAACAAGAAAACATAGAATATGGGCCCTTTGAAGGTGGTAGATGTGGCAAAAATCACAGATATTACTTAAAGGGCCAATATCTTACATTTTTTTGTTGCATTTATAACATTTCTGTGGGTTCATGTACCAAAACCATAATTCTTTTTTACATGGCAGTTTTCCAACCTCTCTTTATCCCTTAAACAGAAAGGTTTTTGTTACTGTGCCTTCAAGACTGATGTATTTAAATGAGCTCTCTTCTGACTGGCTGTCCTTTATTGGGGCTTGTTAGAAAAACGGTCTGTGCTGAAACGCTTGTTTTAATTTCAACATGAATGGGTGGGGCTAGATGGCTGTAGGCTGAACAGGCGGGTATATATGAATGTGTGGATTTTCATGACATCACAAAAACAATTTTTTTGTTGTAAAAAGATTTGTTTTTTTGCGGCATAGTTACCGTATATGGACTGTATGGGCTGGGCAGTGAATGACTTGTTTTGCAACTTTACCACTGTTTACATCCCACATCAAACTAATTTTTTTTAAGGCAAGAAACAGTCAATTTTCTATGATATGGCCCTTTAAAGACATTGTCACAATATCTCATATGCTATGTATCATGATATTCAGTGATGTGAACAACTTAAAGCAGATGAAAAGCAAAACAGTACTGACAAATCTTAAAAAATGATATGAAACTGTGTTTTTCAGCATCTCCAAATTAGACAATTTAAAGAAGGAATTGGAGAGAAAAATAGATGCAGATTACCATGCAGTTTGGCCGGTGCAGTTTACTATGCACCGGCTATTTACAGTCTCGTTATAATTGGTCTTAATCTGTCTTTATTAAGATCCAAACTGTGAAAAACAAAACATATGACACATATTGCCCAACCTTTCTCACCTTAATGTGGAATTTAAATAAACAAACAAGAGAAAAATCTGGTCTTTTTTTCCCTCTTGCTTTGCAGGTATGTCCATCAAGTCGATGCAGTGCTTCTCTCCCATCCAGACCCTCTTCACCTGGGTGCTCTGCCGTATGCTGTTGGCAAACTGGGCCTCAACTGCACCATCTATGCCACCATTCCTGTGTACAAGATGGGACAGATGTTCATGTATGACCTCTATCAGGTACGGAAGGGTAATCCCATTTGGGACAGAGGGCTTTGGGCAGGGAATCAAATCTAATCTAATAGCTCTGGACACACGTTTTTGTTTCTCACAGTCTCGTCACAACACAGAAGACTTTACCTTGTTCACACTGGATGATGTGGACTCAGCTTTTGACAAGATCCAGCAGCTGAAATATTCACAGATTGTGAACCTGAAAGGTAAATGTTGACGTAAATGTAAAGTTAAAATCTTGACGCATTGACTTATGCTGATAAAGATTGCACTTCTGTCATTGATAAATGGTTGATTGAATTATTTATTTATTTTTTGTCCTCCAATTATTTATGCCTCCCAGTTTACTATTTTCCAGTAACATATTTTAGAACCTTTGAGATGCTAGGCATGGTTTGTTATTGTTTTATGTTCTTCATTAATTTTTTTTTTTATTTCCGTTCAAAAGGGCCATAAAGTACAAGCCATTCATTTTTGAGATGTCAGATAATCCACTAACTTAAGATGGGCAATAGTGAATGTAAAATAAGTGAAAAACAGGAGTTTCCAAAAGTCGAGTTAAAAACTATCAGAAGCTACAGTGAAAATGGGACCATACAA